GAAACTCCAATTGCCATGTCGCCACGTGCGCAGATCCTGGGGATTCTGCCAAGTTCTGCAGCTCCAGCTGATCTCCTCCAGGTCTGTGTGGCTCTGCTTTAACTGGTTCCCTCCCCCACTACAATTAGCTAGGGCTCGCGTACCACCAGCCAGGTGCTAAAGTACCACTGGTGGTACGCATACCACCGGTTGAAAAGCCCTGCTCTAGTGGGCCTGAGCCGCTTTTCTGCTGTGGGAACGGGACAGGGAAAACCGCTGCCCAGTGACCCGGCTGGCCACATCTGAAGCATTTGATTGGTGGGCCCGAGGATGGTTTTGGAGGTTCCGCCACTCCTGTCGCTGGGGTTCGCCGGGCAGGTGGTCATCTAGCCAGTTCTGGTCTCGGTCCAGGTCCAGGGGTCATCGGCTTCTTATAACGGGTCAGCTCGATGTCCATCTTCACTGCCACCTGGTACCACTCCTGTAGTTGGTCAGGAATTCCACACTAAACACAGGCTTGGAACAGATTAGGGTCCAGGCCGTTCTTGAAATGGTGCACCAGGGATCTTTCTGGCCACTGCTCAATTCGACCCGCCACTCTCCGGAATTCGCGCACATATTCCTTTGCTGATCTGCCTATCTGTTTTACTTCGTGAATGTCCTTCTCGGCCTGTAGAGCTATGGATTCATCCTCGAACCTGGCTCTCAGCCCTTGGATGAATAGGTCGTAGTCCCATAGCTCGGGCGCTTGCTCATTGTGCAAGCTATTCAGCCATTCCGATGCCTCCCCCTCTAGGTTTGCCTCTATGACATCGACCACAGCCGCAGGGTTCGGGTAGGAACGCACTTGGTTCAGAAAGAAGGTTAACTTCTCAGGGTCTCCATCAAATGTGGGTTTGAAAGGAGGAGCCATTATGGGTTGCTGCCTGTCCAGTAAAGCATGCAGCCATCCATACTGTTGCATCAGGTCACGTTGGATCAAACCTTGGCATGGGCCCTGGGCTGGTGTAGCGTCGGTGCCGTGGGTGCCAGACGGGGCTCACATAGGGGCACCGCCGCTCAGGGCTGGCATACTGTTCTCGTCACCCAGGGCTGTTATGACGTCGATGGCGGTCAGGGCTCAGCTGTTGCCAACGACGGTCGGGGCTAGCACGCTGCTGGTGACGTTCCGGGCTTCTCCTCTGCACTGGGCTTGAGGTTAAAGCGGGTGGCTTCGGATGCAGGGAGGCGGCCCTGGCCCCGACTATGGGACTGGGACTTCTTCTAGACTGGGAACAATCTCGGAGTCACTTGTCATCCTGCTCGATGGTCAGTAGCTGATGGGTGACCTGCTCCTTGCTTCCCACGTCTAGCCCCTCACATTTCTCCCTCAAACGTTCAACTGACTGGCTTCAGATTGCCGTCAGGTATTTCCACTCACCTGACTCCTCCGACGGTGCTACATGCTTAGCCCCTCTTCTGTCAGGAGAGCGCGACTCGTGGGAGGTAGTCAGTGGAAATTCAGCTTCAGCGGCCTTTGAAGAACTCTTTTTCTGTTGGGCCACCTCTGAACGCCACGAGTCTCCGCTAGGCAGGGTCCATTCCTATGACCAGATGTGCTCTTGTGTCTTTGGTCTCGCCCCTGCTGCTGGAGTCTCTGAAACCACACTTTCTATCAGTGTCATGGCCTGTGCTCCATCCGCCGATGTAGTAGCTGTGGTTGCGGTGCTGGTAACAGATTCCTCCTCCTTCTCCATTTTGGGATCTTCCCTGAGTCTTTGTCAGCCTCCCTTCTGCTTTGGGTAGGTGACTGGAGCTCAGGACCCCATGAATTTAAGACAGTGGTTCTCAACCTTTCTAATGCCGCGACCCCTTAATACAGTTCCTCATGTTGTGGTGACCCCCAACCATAAAATTATTTTCGTTGCTACTTCATAACTGTAATTTTGCTACTGTTATGAATCGTAATGTAAATATCTGATATGCAGGGTGTATTTTCATTGTTACGAATTGAACATAATTAAGCATAGTGATTAATCACAAAAACAATATAGCAATGCTCGCTAGAGAAGCTTACTCTTCCTTGCTCAAAAATGTTGGGAGGGAGAAAAGGGGAAGGAAGGAAGATTGAAAAGGAAAGGAAGGAGATGGAGAAGGAAGGAGATTGAAGGGGGAAGGAAGGAAGGAGAGAGAGATTGAAGGGAAAGGGATGGAGATGGAAGGAAGGAAGGAAGGAAGGAAGGAAGGAAGGAAGGAAGATTGAAGGGGAAAGGAAGGAGATGGAGAAGGAAGGAGAT